TTGAACCCTCCAAGAAAAGATGAAGGGGAAGTCATTCCGTATGTGGGTGGAGCCCAAAGTTTGAATCTTGGCTGGGAATTCTGAAGTTTTGGCTGAAAGAGGTTGGTTCTTGAAGGGTAATTCAAGATGGTGTTTAAGGTTGCGATGGCTGAGTACATATCTGGCAAGCAGTCAAAGAGTGGATGAGTTTGAGGAGAATCATCGGATTAGGATTTTTTTTAATTATTTATTTATTTTTTCTTTTTATTTGAAAATTCTTCCAGGAAATGATGACGGGAAATGCAAGTGCACAAGTATGATTTTAACTAGGGGTAATTAACACGATACCCTTAATCTTTGCATGTTTTGTCGAATAATAATGTTAAGTATAATTCCATGGTTACATCTTGTTGTATACTGGGTGGAAGTTTAAAAATTGTTGGACGGATAAGTGTGTTTTTTTAAAATTTTCTAATCATGTGTCGTCATGTAACACAACGTCAAAAATCATATAAAAAAACATGTACTTGTAGCATGATTGTTTGTTGAATACTCTTTTAACATTTTATTTTGGTACAAAACTTTCTTAAATTATTCAAACCTTGTCGAATACAACATTTTCATACATTTTCTACATAAAGTCATGTAAAATGATGAATTTACCTTCCTTCTTTAAATAAAAAAGAAAAGAAATTAATTGAAACCATAATCACTATTTTTCCAAAAAAGTGCAAATAAATTCCAATGAAAACAAAAAATAAAAAACCTACCTCCTGCACTGCACCAACACCACAAGATCCTCCCCTCAAAAATTCTTATCCACCACCATTTTCCATTTTCTGTGATTCTTATGGTGTGTGTGTTCCACTCGCCTTTTGAATAGAAAGCGTGAAATATGGACTCGTCATCATGGCTATACCCGCTTGCGAACTTAGGGGGACTGCCCAGTCCCCTCCCAACCCATTCAAGCTTTATTTGTGTAAAAAAAATCATTTTTACATGTAATTTTTTTTTTAATTCAGCCTAAAAAGATTTTTAGTCCGATTCTTATTTTGTTCCTAGCTACACGTACGTAAATGAACCTAAATTCGCAGTTTTCGGAGGATATTTTTGTGAATCAACAAGAAGATTAGGGACTGTTCTCTTCGTGTTTCAGTTTTGAGTTTTGAATTCATTTTGTGTTTTGTGTTTTGAGTGTATATTTTGAAATTGCTGAAAATGAGTTCTTTTTGTTCATTTTGAAAAATTGTTTCTGAAAACATAAAAATGGAAAACACGATTACTTTGGCATTTTGAGAAATTTTTTTTATAATATTTTATTCAAGAAATTTGATTATTCAATAAAATTTAATACTTTAATGTGAATATAGTATTAAATAACATATAAAATTTGAAATTGTTGAATCTTCAAATATTTTTTTCCAA